GCTCAGAGAAGAGCTTAGGAAAGATTATTTCTCCGCTTCTTTCTTCTTTGAGTCTTTGTTCTGCTTTATAACATTGTAAGTGTGTGGTTTCATCTCTTTGGGGAGTAGATATAGCACAGTGAAAGTGAAAGTGAAAGTGAAGTCACTCAGTCGTGTCTAAAGAAACAGAGAGTGGAGTGATGGTTGCTAAGCACTGGAGGCTGAGGAGTATAGGCAGAGGTGGAAAGGTACATATTTTCAGGTATGAGATTAGTAAATTCTGAGGATCTATCTACAGGGGTACTGTAGTAGTAGCACTGCATTGTAATAACATTGTACTGACATGTGCTGAGAATAGACCTTAAACCTTCATACCACACACACACACAAAAGAAAAAGAGTAGCTATGTGAAGTGATTACTAACTTGATTGAGATGCTATGCATCATTTTACAGTCTATACTTATATCAAATCATCATGCCATCCACTTTAAATATAATTGTACCTCAGCAAAGCTGGGGGAACTGAGAAGTCTCTTTAATAATGCAGATTTACATAATATTTATTTTAAGCAGAAGTTGATAGATACAAGATTTCAGTGCAAACATTAGTTTTAGGTTAAGCGAGTCTTAGTTTCTTCTAGACATATAATTTTTAATTTATTGAACACATATAGAAACATGTTTTTTACTGTTGCAAGGTCATTAGTTCCAGACTAAATGAATATTTCAGTTCTGGAAGTTTAATTTTTGGTTTTATTGAACCCCATAGAGCAAAAAGTTTTGCACTGTTGGACTTTTAGGGGATGATTTAATTGGAAAGGTAAGTTGTATACCTTCTATGGGGCTGTGGTCGCTCCACATACCCCAATTTAAGGCTCTTTCCTGCCATCTAGAGACTGATAATAGAAAATACAAAGACTATTCTGAACCACCTTGAAAACACCTCTTCTGTAAAGGATCAGTTAGCAAATATTTTAGATTTTGCAGGCCTATAGTCTGTGACAATTCTTCCAAGAAGCCATTTTAGGGCAAAAGCATCCCTGGACGAGATTTTAAGGTTTTGGCTGCTGCTGTTGCTGCTAAATCGCTTCAGTCATGTCCGACTCTGTGCGACCCCACAGACAGCAGCCCACCAGGCTCCTCTGTCCCCGGGATTCTCCAGGGAAGAATACTGGAGTGGGTTGCCATTTCCTTCTCCAATGCTTGCATGCATGCTAAGTCGCTTCAGTCGTGTCCGACTCTGTGCAACCCTATAGACAGAAGCCCATCAGGCTCCTCTGTTTATGGGATTCTCTAGGCAAGAATACTGAGGTGGGTTGCCATTTCCTTCTCCCAAGGTTTTGGCTAGGTTCTAGCACAACTTTGTGGACACTGAACTTCGGATTTCAAAATATTTTCACATTTCACGAAGTACTATTTTTCTTTTGATTTTTCCCAACCACTTAAAAATGTAAAAACCATTATTAGCTCACTAGTTAAAACAGATGGTAAATCAGCCTTGCCAACCAAGTGTGTGGATAATAGCAGTCCTAATAATGTAATAACTTACATCTTTATCTTTCATAGAGATCGCCTCAAACTTAAAATTATGGTTGTAAGTTATTATAGACACTTTGAAGATAATACCTTTGAAAAGTTTAAAAGCTTCATCGCTATACTCTCATAGAGTCATTAGAAGTTGGGTGGTTTATCAGAGTATAAATAGTTTGAGCTAAGCAATGCGATATATATACATTTATATATGCACATATACATGTGTGTATACACATGTTTGCATGTAAGCTGCCTTGTTGTAGATGCTTCCTCCATTAACTTGGTGAAAATAGGACATTGCCTTTTAGCCTTTGAAAGCTTGGAAATTTTGTATTTTAAATGATAGCTTTTTCTTAAGGTATAATTTCAGTACATTGCTATCCACCAACTGAGCTGGCAGAAAACAAACTGGGAACAAGTGGGAAGAAAAAGTCATCCTGCGTGGGCATTTGTCACAAATTTCATAACCACAGAGACTCCAGCCCATGTAGCTAGCTTCGGATGTGGCAGTCCTCAAAACAATCCAAGTCATTTTTGACTTCTTGTAAGCTTTCAAATGGGATTTCTGGTGAAGATTGGCTTTATTTTTAGAATATATTTAGAATACTTTTAGAAATATTGAATCAATTTGTTTATCATTAGGATGCTCCTTGGTGATTGTTTGGAAAAGTATAAAAAAGAATCGGAACACATGTAAACCCATGGCTGATTCATATCAATGTATGGCAAAAACCACTACAATATTGTAAAGTAACTAGCCTCCAACTAAAATAAATAAATTAAAAAGGAAAAGAATCAGGAAAATCACTTAAAAAATAATCATAACTCCCAGAAATACTGTTCATTTTTGGTCTGTATTCTTCCCATGCTTTTCCTGTGCATAAGTGTGCTTTTTACAAACAGATTTTGAATCATGATGCTTTGCTTTTGTTATACAGTACGGTGCACAGGCTGTTCTATAATTTGCTCTGTGCAACTTCTGCATCTCTTCATGTCATGAAATGTTCCTCTAAAGTGTTATTTTCATGGACTGCAAAGCTTTGGATTCTTTTTGACTGTGTAGCTGTGTTGTAATGTAGTCAGTCCTTGATTTCTGACCCAGGAGATTTCGATTCTTCATTTTTGCACTCTTGAGCATCCATGTTACTTATGAACTTAGGAAAAACTCATAATGAGCGGAAGCAGCCCCAGGGTCCCTCAGCTGTGTGTGAGCCTCTGCTGGGCTGGCTAGTGCTCTGCTCTGCGGGAGGTCATGGAGGTTTCCCTGGTCCTGGGACCACACAATCCTACTCCACAGGTCTGCACACAGGTGTTGTGACCTGAAATCCAGCACCTGTGTGGAGCACACCTCTGTGGGCTCGTGTTTCTCTAAGATGACATCTTCTTTCAACCCAAGGGTCCCAAGAGATCATATGATTCCTTCCAACTCCACTCACAACTGGGTGGAGTTCCTCAAAGGTTCTAGCCAGGGAAGCCTCTGGAGCAGGTTGGCAGGGACCTTTAGTGGACGGGGTGGACAAGAAATTGGGAGGACATAGAGAAGGGGCAGGGAGGAGGGTTACCTGGGGGAAAGTTAGTGATTCCCACCTGTTTGTGCACAGAACTGTCCAAATGCTCCAAAACAAAGATCGGGGCTGTTTTCTGATAGTTATGAGCTTACCTATGGGAAGGCTGGGCTTCCCTGGTGTCTCAAACGGTAAAGAATCTGCCTGCAATGCAGGAGACCAGGCTTCAATCCGTGGGTTGGGACGATCCCTTGGAGAAGGAAATAGCTACCCACTTCAGTATTCTTGCCTGGAGAATCCCATGGACAGAGGAGCCTGGCGGGCTACAGTCCATAGGGACACAAGCAGTAGAACATTACTGGAGCAACTAACACATGGGAATGTTAAGGCAGATTGAGAGCAGGATATGAGACACTGGGGTATATGGTTCAAATGGTTATAAACCATAAAAAATTCAGTGCCCCCTCTTGTGAAGTTGATCCAGCAAAATAAAGCTTTAAAGCTAATCCACATAACTTGCAAAAGACAGATAACATACCACCCAGCACAGCTTGTTTAATGGAATAGAGCCCAGTTCCAACATATTCTGGCAAGTCTCCCTAAGGAAAATGGCAGACTAAAAAAATTTGGCTCAGTTAATCCCAAGTATGGGACCTTCCAAAGGTTCTGTGTTTCCTTGGGGATTTCTGTAGACAGCAAACACCTTACACTTTGAAGGCCAGGAGGCAAGGGTCAGGGTTCAGAGTCCTCACCTGGGTTCCTCTCTGTGATAAAGACACCAGTTCCAGCCAGTTTGTGTCCTGTGGGTTTTCTGCACCGAAAGTGTGGGGTATGCACAGGGTGGAGGACGGGACCGAAGCAGGTGGAACTGACTTGCTCTGTGGTGTCCTTGAATGTGAGTTGAAATGTGTTGAATGCTGTAAACAAACATTTACTCGCTGGTGACTTTACAAAAAGCCAGTTTTAACAGTGTCAGCTCACTGTTGACTGTTTCCTTGCAAAGATGACAATGCAGGTAATTCTGAGGTGAGCTTATGTAAAAGCAGTCCTGGACAAAGGCGGGGTAGGGGGGCGGTCCTTGTTTTCTCACCAAAATTATCTGGACAATCCCAGTGAATATTCTCACGTGGGCCAGGTGGAGGGCTTGGCAGGGGAATCAGCGTCTACTGTTTTCATAATCATGACAGAGAGAATGATGGAACCTGTAGGTTTTATTTTTCATGCGTTATGAACATGTGTCATTAACATTCATGTGCACAGTGAACACTCATATGGGGGGTGCCTGAATAGCCCTCAAAGTCACGTCTCATCATCTCTGACCGACTGTTATTCCAACCTCTGCACTTTCTCTGTGACAGTCACAGTCACTTTCTCTACACTGCAGATGTTGAACTTCTCTGCTCAAATTCATTCTGTTGTTTTGCTGCTTTTATTTCATCTTAGATCCTGCAATTTGAAAATGAACAAGAATTGTGGGAAGGAATGGGAGAGATTTTTGGACCATTCTCTGTGGAGGCAGCATTCTCTATTAAATAAATACACAACAACTTGTCCCATGCTGCCCTTTCCATGTCCTGTTTCAACAAATCACAATAAGAAAATGCATTTTGTTTAGTGAAGGAAAAGCATGTTTATTCCAGTGTTAAGATGGTATGAGGAAGAAAAGCCAAAGCTTCAAACTTCAGCAATATTTAACCATTCTGTAACAAATGAGAAAAATGAAAAAAAAACCCACGAAAAGTACAGTACTATTTATTATATTTATCCTGTTCTTATACTAGTCATTAAAATGTCAATAATGTGTCAAGAGTCATAATGGCCCCGATGCTGTGTCTTTTTCTTCTAGTTTGGAGAAGCCAGTGGGCTCCTAGAAGGTGACACAATGCAGTCACTCTTGTGTTGTGTCTGGTGCCATGAGCTTTGCAGGTGGTTGTCTAATGTGGCTTGTTCTAGTGCATTTGCGGCCTCACCTGGGAGAGCCATGGTGCTGCCCCCTCATCAGAGCCATCTGAGCCTAACACAGAAACAGCACAGAAAGATGAAATTATTCTTAATGGAGGCAGGTTGGTGAGAACTTCATCTGAAAGCAGTCCAGTGTGAGGAAAATTAACGTCCAGCAGGTCATTTTCACGCTGAGGAATGTAAATGAACCTGTGATTAACACTTCCCCTTTTTATTAAGGGTGTCACCACCAGGTAGCTGATGGTTTAGTTTGTCCAGTAGGTAGGTGACATAACAGCAACCAAACTCTTGTTTCTTTTTGGATTAAGTGACCAATCTCAGACCCACTTCATTTGTGCTCATCTAAAAGGCAAAAACTGGGAACCGAGAGAAACAAATTGACTTTCCACAGATAAATAGAAAATCAATAGAATGTAAATACTTGACCCTCAAGTCCATTCGGGGATTTTCCACAACCTGATGGTTACTTAGGGCCATGAGTGAGTGTGGTGTTGACTCAAGACCCCTGGGAAAGGGGGTCCCTGGGTGAGGTGTCACCCTGACACCTGGCATCATGTGTAAAGCAGCCACTGCTCCTGACCAGGCAGACAAGCCTCCACACTGGATGTCTGTCCAACCTGAACCTGAAACCTCCTAGCCTGGGCTTCTGGAAGTGCAGCCTTGACCAGCTGTGTCTTGCCTTTGCTCTCGAGCTGCCTCTCAGGATGGGTCTTCTTCCAGTGTCCAGGAAGAACCCACCCTGTCCTGTGATCTGGTGTCCTGGCTGACCTGGAGGGTAGTCTTCCTCTGCAGCCATTGTTTCCACAGAGCAGCTCACCTGCATGGGTCACCTCAAGTCAGGACCTTTCTGCCCAAGTTCTGTCCCTGCTCTCAAGGGTAAAGTGTGGTCCAGTGAAACTTGCCAGTTGAAAAGATGACTCGTTTTACATTTAATCTTTCAAAATATGAAGAGGAATAGAGATTAGGCAGATTTGGCAGTTATTTTTTTTTAATTTGTTCCAAATGATTAGTATTAATGAACATATTACAAACCATGCCTGGATGGTACATTTAAGTGCTTCAACTTTAAAAATTAATAGCAAATTAATGATGATGAAATTTCTTGTGGTGGGAAGATGGACTAACTGATGAAAAATTAAAGCAATCTTTTGAGAAAGGACATTTTGGAGCAAAACAATTATTTTGCTATCAAACGTTTTGTTGGAAAGTGTGACCATCTTGTTTATTAGAGCTAAGCTTCTCATTCATGGGCTGGATTTTAATTCAATGCAGTAACACCTCATTAATTTTTTAGACTGTAGATAAGCCAATTTGGCTGACTTGTAAAGTATTTTGAGGATAAATATACAGAAGGATGTTGCCTCGTAACTGCTTGGCATTCTCAAGTTCAGAATGTTACTTATGCAGTAACTGTGGCTGTTGTTGTCTTCATTTTTTTTATTTTTCCAAACTTTAAACTTTTTTATTTTGTATTGGAGTATAGCTGATTAACAATGTTGTGGTAGTTTCAGGTGAACAGCTAAGGGAATCAGCCATAAACATACATGTATCCATTCTTCCCCAAACCTCCTCCAATCCAGGCTGCCACGTAACATTGAGCAGAGTTCATGTTCTGTACAGTAGGTCCCTGTTAGTTATCCATTTAAAATATAGCAGTGTGTTAATTTTAGTTCTAAACAAACTGATCCAGAAGTAATAGATTAGCTCTGGAAATGCAAACTGAGAGGCTCTGATTTTTCTCTTCAGAGTTTCTCTCAAGAATCTACTTTTCCTGAGAAAACTTAACAATGGTTTTTCATAAACTTGCTAGTTATTCATTTTTGGTGGAAGTAATATAATTGTTTTTCTTAACAGCTTTCTTGACATATAATTAATATGAAATAAATTGCATAATTTAAAGCTTAGAGTTTGATCAGTTTTGGCATAATCATACCCGTGAAACCATCACCATAATTAAGTGAATGAATATACCCATCTGTCCCAAGGGCTCCATACCTTTTGCAATCTCTCTCCTGTCTTCATCCTCCTTCATCCCATCCCCAGGTAACCTCTGATGGCTCTCCCTAACTTGATTAGAATACATTTTCTAGGACTTTCTATAAATGAAATCTTGTAGTATGTACTTTTTAATGTTATTGTTGCTATTATTGTTGTTATTATTAATATTATTATTATCCTGCATGGGGGTAGGAGGCAAGTCTCATTTTGCACTGTGAGAGTTCATTCTTTTTCATCCCCTCTTAGTATAGTCAATCTTTTTAAATTTGGGCATTCTGATTGTTGTGTAGAGGCAATTCATTGTGGTTTTAAATTAATGCATTTCCCTAATGTCTAATGAGGCAGAGGATCTTTTTCATGAGCTGATTTTACATTCACATATCTTTCTGATGAAGTGTCTGTTAAAATATTTTACCCATTTTTATTTGTTTTTTAAAATTTATTTTTAATTCAGGGGAAATTTCTTTACAATGTTGTGCTGACTTCTGCTGTAGGACAGTGAGAATCAGCCATAATTATACATATATCACCTCCCTCTTGAGCCTCCCTCTTGAGCCTCCTTCCCCTCCCCCCATTCCACTCCTCTCGGTCATCACAGAGTGCCAGGCTGGGCTCCTTGTGTTTTATAGAAACTTCTCACCAGCTATCTATTTTACACATGTGTGCATGCTAAGTTGCTTCAGTCATGTCCAACTGTTTGCAACGCTATAGACTGTATGTCGATGCTACTTTCTCTTCATCACTCTCTCTTCAGATCATATAAATCTTTCACCTATTACCCATTTTTAAAAATCATGTTAACTTTGTTTTCTTACAGTTGAGTTCTGACATTTGTTAGAAAACCAGGACACAAATCATTTATCAGGTATATGTTTCTGCAAATATTTCTCCAGTCTGTGGGTTATCATCCTTTTACTAGTGTATTTGCAAGAGCCGAGTTTTTAGTTTTGATGAAATATACTTCATAGTTGTTCTTCTGTGAATTATGCTTTTAGTGTGATAGTTAAGAAATATTTTCCAATCCCAAATTCACAAATGTTTCTTCTATATCTTCTTCTCAGAGTTTGTTTAGCCTTTGATGTTAAGTAGTACAGAATCATTTATTGAAGTGACTGTGTTTTCTTTTGCATTTGTTGAAAATTGTGACCATGATTATGTGGTTGGTTTTATATATAGACTGTTCTGTACAATTTGTCTCTTCATCTTTATGTGCTGCTGCTGCTGCTAAGTCGCTTCAGTCATGTCCGACTCTGTGCATCCCCATAGACGGCAGCCCACCAGGCTCCCCCGCTCCTGGGATTCTCCAGGCAAGAACACTGCAGTGGGTTGCCATTTCCTTCTCCAATGCATGAAAGTGAAAAGTGAAAGTGAAGTCACTTAGTCGTGTCCGACTCTTCACGACCCCATGGACGGCAGCGTACCAGGCTCCTCCGTCCATGGGATTTTCCAGGCAAGAGTACTGGAGTGGGTTGCCATTGCCTTCTCCTCATCTTGATGTGACTGTCTTAATTATTTGTAGCTTGATAATGTCTTGAATTTAAGCAATGTCATACTCTCTTTTTTCTTTTTTTAATTTTCATTTGAAGTTGTTTAAGGTATTCTAAGCCATTTATGTTTCCATATAAATTTTAAATCAGTCTGTTGATGTCTGTAGCAAAATCTGCTGGGATTGAATTTGTATAACAGAAGAGTTGATGTCAAATTTTTTTTATTATTTTTAAATTTTTCCTTAAGAAGAATTGACTCTTGAAACTATGTGAGTCTGAACTTTTCTTTATGGGAAGGTATTTAAGCACAGATTCAATTTCTCTAATAATTATAAGGTTCTCAGATTATTTCTTCTTGAATGAGTTTTAGTAATTTGTGTCTTTCAAGGAATTTGCCTTTGCATGTAAGATGTCAAATTTATTAGCATAAAGTTGCTAATAATGTTTAGTTTCTTTTGAATATTTGTAGAATCAGTAATGATGTTATTCATTTTATTGCAGAGAATAATTATTTAATTTATTCAGATAATTTGTACCATCTTTTTTTCCTATTCAGTCCACATGTCCACATTTCCATTTATTATTATTTTTCTTCTGCATAAAATAATTTTTCACATTTTTTCTAGTGCAAACCTTCTGGTGACAGATAGTTTTGCTGGGTATAGAATTCTAGGGTAACAGCTTTTATTTCACTACTTTAAAGATGTTCCATCACTGCCTTCTCACTTGCATTGTGTCTGACAATACATTTGAAGTTCCTATTATTGTTACTTTATATATTAATATTGATGGAAAATTGCATTCACCTTCCTAAAAACTGCTTCCCTGAATTAAAAAAAAAGAAAATAGAAAGAAAGAAACAAACAAACAAGAAAAAACCCCAGCTCTAACATCCATTCCATGATTCATTGGGTTTGAGACTGATTAACATTACCGTATTTCCATGATACATGTCCATTAAAATATATTCATGTTTCCCTAAATTAGTAAATTCCCAGGAATGGGAAAAGCTTATACTTTTTGTTACATCACATTACAAGGACACTTTATGGAAAGCCATTTCTTATGATGTGAACCTGAGAAACTTAGAACTTTATCCTAGACAACATAGAAGCATTTTATGTGGACTTATAAAGGGAGAAGATCTGGGCTTCAAAGAGACTTCTGCCAATTGTTTCCTTTTCTAGATGTGTTTGCTTCTTCCTCGAGTAACTTTAGCTACAACTTTTCTTACAGAAGATTTCTTATTTCATGCCTCCATAGATGGATTATCCAATCTTTTTCCTTCAATATCTCTGACCTTTCTGACACTAAATGAAACTCCTTGGTCATTAGTTCGCAGGTTTCTCTTTAGTGCCCTTAATTAAAGTGCTCTTAAGTTAAAATGTAAGAGCCAACAATTGGCTACTCCACTGGGGAGTGAGATCCCTCTCATGGGGTCAGTGAGGTGCCTCTGTGCCCTTCAGAGGTAATACCTGCTGCTCTGATGCTCAGAAAGAGGTGGCACAAATCACCACTCTGCACCCACCATCCAGGCAAAGCAGTTCTATGGAGGGAACACTTGATAACCACCTTCCAATGGATGAATGACTCAGAGAACATTTCCTGAAAACAGTCCACCATATTTGAGTAGTATTCCCACCATCATGAATTCTCTATGATGACAGGGATAGTATCTTATTTGCATATCCTTGCCAATAACTATAGTGCTCAATAGACTCAAGACTCATCACTTAAAAGGACATTTGCTAAATGCATCCTGTAGTGGAATCTTCCTATGACTAATGCCCTTTCCTAAGGGTTTCCTGATACCCTTGGGGTTTTCCTATTTCACCACTTACTGAGAAATGGGGTGGTGTGATTTGAAGCCAGCAGACCTGGATACATAATCCCCACAACATACAAACCTTTTTAATCATTTGTGCCTCAATCCACGTGTATAAAGGAGCCAATAGCAGATCCCCAGCAGAGCTGGCCTCAGACATTCAACATAGTGCCTGATTTATCAGAGGAACTGCAGGGTTGGCTTGGGTCTCCTTCTGTTTGCCTTTGTAATGTCATTGGTTATTAACCATGTAGGGCTTTAAAATGAGGTATTCAAATCCATGTTTACATTATAGCTACTTGGGGAAAATTATGTTTGTGAGTAATAGAATTGCCCACATTTTATGTTTTTCATCTTGTGCTGCCAGCACAGAAGGGTGCATGGTTTAGGGTCCGAACTTGGTCTTGTCATAAGAAGCCGTATGGGATGACCAACTGGTCCTGGGAGTCCTGGTTCTGACTCATTTCTACACTGCTCTCAGAGGTGAAAATGTGTTTGGACACAGAAAATAGACCATGAATACACAACATTCATAGAATATAAATGTTCTTGAGATGTGGCATCATCTCAAATAGGATAGTGGGCCTTTAATGGTGAAATGGCAAGGAACTTCCACATGGCCTCAGTGTGTCCATCATCTATCCCCCTTCTGAAGACAACACACCTTCTACCTATGCAAAATTGGCCAGTGGACAGAATGCTTTTATTATAAGGCAGAGTTCTGCACCTGTAGAGTTAAGCCCAGTTACAACAACCTGGCAGACCGTTAAGACACACGTATGCCAAAAAAGACTTCCAAGGTGTGATGCAGAGCCCAGGGGACTCCATGGAAAGTTTTTCCAAGCTTAAGAAAACAATGTTGTGTGGAAACTGTCAGACTCAAGTTTCTCAAAAATGTCTATGGGTTTGACACGGAAATGTGTTTAAAGCATAAGTAGGAAACTAATGATAAAAGATGTTAAATATTGGCTGTGCTTTTCATATGATGCAATACAGAGGAGAGGGTGGTTGCAAGCCAGAGCAGCAAGAACACGTGTGTAAAAGCACTCTGTCCTTACCCAGGTGGGCTGCTGTAGGGAGAGGGGAACATCTTACTGGTAGGACCACTGAGAGCTAGATTCAGCCTCCTTCCAGCAAAGACATTTGTCGAATGTTGAGGAAATGTCTTCAGGGGGGTGGAAGCACAAACCTCGCTTTCTGTGGACATCTGACCTGCCTTGCCTTCTTGACAGTGTGTTCTTGCTTTTATTTGTGTGTAAAACTAGTTCTGTTTCCCACCTGCCAGCAGTTAGATTTTGGTCTTTACTTGTGCTGACTGCACCATGGGGTTTTGGAGGAGGAGGTTCTGTTCAGTCTGCTGGTGGCCCCCTCTTCTGAAGGGCCATCTCCCCCCACACACCTGCCCCTCCCTTAGACCCCATAACGCAGGATGCTGGACACACCAAGCCATAGTACAATTAAATTGTGAGTAACAATGATAGAGAAAAATAGTAACAGCATTACAATAGGAAGTACATTTTGTGAAAGGGAATCACAGACTTCTCACCAGAGATCATGCCAGTCTAAATGCAAGAGGACATCTTTCACATTCTCCTGGAAAAAAAAATCAAGGTGTGATTTTATGTACAAAGGTATATATGGAAAAACATAAAAGTCAAATAAAGATGTTCTTATGTGAAACTGAGGGTATTTGGCACCCACAGATCTTCATGACACACAGTATATATTCGCAGACTAAAGAAAGTGATTCTTGGTAAAAACTCAGAGTTACAAATAAAAAGCTCCTGAAATAAGATTTACCTCTTGATTACCTCTCAGTGAAGTTTTGTGAAGATATTGTGTCAACTGGTTAGTGAGGGTGTATTTGATTGTAGACTATACCTCCAGGTGTCAGTATGAGGGGATCAGATCATAAAGATCTCTGAGCTCTTGAAAGAAAAGGCTAAATTAAAAGCATGGTGTCTAAGGTCATGCTTGCAAGGATGGCTCCATCAAAAACCTGAAACATGGCAGTGATGTACAGAAATCGGAGCCCTGTGCACTGTTGGTGGGGACATAAACTGACTACAGCCACTGTGGAAAACAGTACAGTGGTTCCTCAAACAATTAAAGATAGAACTACCATATTATCCAACAATTCTACTTCTGGGTTTATGGCCAAAAATATCAAAAGTGGGATCTTAAAAAGGTATTTGTACACCTGTGTTCATGGCAACTTTATTGATAATAGCCAAAAGGTGTAAGTCTCCATCCTTGGAGAAATGGATAAAGAAAATGTGATCCATCCATGCAATGGTATATTATTCAGCCTTCAAAAGGAAAGAAATTCTGACATCTGCTACATCAGTGAATGAACCTTGAGAATATTATGTTGAGTGAAATAAACAGTCACTAAAGAACAGATACTGTGTGATTCCACTTAGAGTCTACCAGGTGCACTGCGTAATCATCTTGATGGAGACAGAAGGTAGGATGGTGGTGACCAAGAGCTGAGGGGGGAAGATGGGGCAGGGTTTTATTGTTTAATGGGGACAGGATTTTAGTTTTCGCAAGATGACAAGTTTAGAGATTGGTTGTATGACAGTGTGAATGCAGTTAATACCCCTGTACTGTACACTTTAAAATGTAAGGTGATCGATTCTATGTTGTGTGAGATCTATATAGGAGATTGCAAGGAGAAAGTCACTCAGTCATGTCCGACTCTCTGTAACCCCATGGACTACACAGTCCATGGAATTCTCCAAGCCAGAATACTGGAGTGGGTACCTGTTCCCTTCTCTGGGGGACCTTCCCAACCCATGGTATGTTATCTATATTTTACTACAATTAAATGTTTTAAAGTGGGGTGTTATTTTCAGTATTACATATTTCTTGCAAATGGGTGGGTTTCTGTATTACCAAAGACCAGCAGATATGATACTGAGTGAACCTGAAAACAGGTGGAGGTTTTGTAAATCTGCCAACATGTGCAAGGAGAAACAAACACCAAGCCAAGTCATAACCAGCACGTGCTGTCAGATGTTGGGAGTGCTTTGCAAGGAGAGAAAAATCACAAAGCAAGTGCTCCAGGGGGAGTGGAGAGACAGTTGTGCTCCCTGCCAAGGAGGAGGAGGAAGAGAGAGAGAGGAGGAAGAAGAGAAGCAGGAATCTGATAGGACTGGGGATGGGGGTGGTCACTAATGTTGTCCTGGCCTCATGTTAATAATTGCAATATCTATGAGAGGTTTTACAAATGGAGAATTCATAGTCTTGGAAAACCTTATAGCAGTGAAGAATGGGACATCAAAGTTAAAGGAAGTTTGTAAAAGCTACAAACGATTGAAAGATTCCATTTCAGGGAGACTCACTTGACATGTAAATATTTCATTCACTTGGTAGAGTCATTTATGAGAAAAAATTCATATAAAATGAACTTCTAAATGAATCACATTTACACAAGTTCCCATTATATAATCATATAATATCTGATTATATAGTAGAATTCTACATTAATAAAACAGTTATTGACAAGACATAAATTTCTAATAAGTGTGCAAAGATTTAGTATTAACTAGATTTTTAAACCAGAGGAAAAGCCATCTGGGTAATGTTTGCATGAATTTTATGCATACATGAACATACATATCTATGATTTAAAGATGCATATATTATATATGGGGCTTCCCTGGTGACACAAACTGTAAAGAATCTGCCTGCAATGCTGGAGACCCGGGTTCAATCACTGGGTTGGGACGATCCCCTGGAGAAGGGGATGGCAACCCACTCCAGTATTCTTGCCTGGAAAATCCCATGGACAGAGGAGCCTGGTGGGCTACAGTCAATGGGGTCACAAAGAGTCAAACACAACTGAGTGCCACAACTGAGACACAACACAGCTCATGAATGTGTAGGGCAAGCTGGTTGTATACTGTGGATTGGACCCAGATATTTGTTGCATCTTTTTAATATTTCTCTTTGTTTTTAAACAGGTTGTTTGGTATTGAATCAGTCATTCAGATGGACTATTCCAGCACGTGGAAGATCATTGCCAACTCCGACCTGTCCTGGTACCACCAAGGTACCCCATCATCCTGCTGGTGATGTACTATACGCTGGTCACTCTGATCCAAATCTGGCTGCAGGAGCCCATTGTAAGGACCAGAAGTTTTCATGGTCTTGTCTGCAAAGTAGCAGGAGACTCTGGGGAAAGGGTTCGTTTCTATCAACTGCTGACTAATCTATAGTGTATTCTGAAGTAACTATAATGTTCTTATCAGAGTGTTTTGTTTCCACACAGAGTCCTAAGTGAGTACAGATTCTATCAGATCAAAGACCAGCTTCCCTGTGTTAGCATCCCCCAGGCTGCTCAGAGGGCCACTGGTGAGGCCAATGGAAGCCTCGTTTTCATTGAGCACTCACTAAGTGCCAGGCCAGGTCCTGGGCTGTTTACATACATTACCACATTCAGTCCCCTGCATGACTCTAAGAACAAGTGCTGTACCCATCTTAGAGATGAGGAGACCAAGGGTAGAGAGGTAAATCACGCACTTGCTGAACAGTAGAAATCAGATTCAAGCCCATGTTTGCTGACAAAGCAAGAGTCTCTGACCACCCAAACTGTTGTCATAGCAACTGGAGTTTCCTAAATCTTAGACTTCTAACCTCTGATGATATGATGGGGATGTCCCTACTCTCGGTGGTGCTGTAACCCCCAGGGTCCCACCACTGGGCAGGGCTGAGGAATGGGCTGTTCCCTGTGGGATTGTTCGTAGTATGTGGTATGTTGGGGCACCATCAGGAAAGACGGCTTGTGGTCCCTCTCTTTTCCTTTTCAGTGACAGAAACTCCAGTCCCTTTCATTCTCCCAAAATGACTGTGAGAAGCTCAGGTATGAGGGATTCAGGTGGCATAGACGGGGCTGCTACACATCACCTCACACCCACATGCCAAGTGGGGTAGGGGGATGCTGGGACAGGGGGCAAAGGCGAGATGCCAGGCTGGCACCTGCTCCCCTCCAGCTCCATCCATATGGTCAGTGATCAGGCCACCAGTGTGTACTGAAAGCGAGCCAGTGACTCAGACCCCAGCCTGGAGTTACAGGCAGAGCATTGGCCCAGAGGAGGGGAGGAGCTGAATGCTTTACAAGAGGAAAGGCGGCCCCCAAATACGTGAGCAGCCAACGGCACAGGTGTTCTCGTTTGCAGGGGGTCTGCCTACCTCTCTCTGTGTAGCGACCCCCACCCTGGCCCATGGTACAGGCATCCTTGTTTGCAGGGGTCTCAGGTCTCACTTTCCTGGGACCCCAAGATGGCAAGTGGTGACAGAATGATTTCAGGCTCACGGAGAATCCAAGTCACCTTGGTTACTTTTTCCTCCGAGTCTCTTCTAAGACACGAGGACGCCAGTTAACCTCTTACAAGTGTTGCTGTGTTTGTTTCCTGCACAAACACACAGATATGGGTATGTGTAGATGCACACATAAAACTGTGTGAAAGAAGTTAAAATGTGAGGTCTACTCTGAACAATGTCTTAGGCAATAATGGAAATGACCTTAATGCCTTCAGGTTTGTAAGAGTCCCAGGTGCCCCTGGTTTTCCCTTGGTGCCTCAGTCAGGAGCTGCCAGGCTGTTCAAGCCCTTTGGGCCCTGGAGACTCTCAACCTCCTTGGCCCCAGGCTGTCCGGGAACCAGGGAAAGCAGAGAGTGGGGAGGACAGGCCACATTCCAGGCCACAGTCCACAGCAGTTTCTACCCCACAGCATCTGCAGGTTTGTGCAGAACAGAGACTCATTCATACCAAGTTGACCCTCAGGGGTTGGTGTTTTAAATGGGGTGGCATTCAGGACTTCCTCACCAAGGTGGTGATGGAGGGCAGGTGCCTGGTTGTATTAATATCATGGTTCCAGGTGTCCTGGCAGCTTTCATGGAAAACGTGAGTTCTGCAGTAAAAGTCTATGATGTAAGTTTGAGAAAGAGAGGAGCAAGTGTCTGGAGCTGAATATAAGGCTCGGACTCCCCGGGATCTGGTGCTCTGTGTGGCTGCCAGGCCCCAGGAATCAGCCGCAACACTGAACACTCTCCCTCTGCCTACAGATCAACGCGTGTAAGCGCCCTTTCATGGGGCATCTTTGTTGGAAACCATCCTCAACCACCAAGTGTGTACTGATCCTTCCTCTCTCTATCCATCTCTCCTGGACCGACTGTCTCATTTAGGCCAAGGTTCAATTAGGCGAGCAGCAGTGTTAGTCAGTAGCTGTGTTTTTGCTTAATGTGGTGTGTAAGCTCTAGATGGTTCTGCCTGTAGTGAATGTCTCCTTCATGAGAGTCCCCTGGCAGGTTCCACGGGCAGTTGTGGCCTCTGTGGACCTTGCACGGCCCTCCTCCCACAGGTCAGAACACACATGGAGGCTTCTTACGGAGCATGGGCACCTGTTCCTGTAATTCACAAGGATCAGGACCAAGCGAGCTGATCTCCGCGTTTATAGGGTGGCCCTTTGACCATTTGTGAAGTGTCTGGATGAAAGCCTGTGTAGGGTGTACGTTACTTTATAAGATCAGCATGCAGGGGCAGAGATGAGCAGCTCTGTCTGGGCTCCCAGGCTGCTGAGGGACCTGCTCCAGAAGCAGGTCCTCTGGGTTATTTTGTGTCTCAGGTGCAGGAAGAGAGGACCAACAAGGAGGACAGAGCCCTGGCCTGCAGCCCTGCCCCTCTCACGGCTGAGAGGAGGCGGAGCCTCTGGTACATGACCCACTACCCTATGGAGAGAAAAGTAAGCTGCCAGGACAGGGTTGTTTCTCATTTGTTTTCTGCTTTTTATCATATTGCTGAATACAGGCCGTATGAGTCCACATGCAAACCCAGGTTGCTCAGTTTACAGGGGCTGTTTGATGGTGAAGGTTAGGGTCAGACATGAGAGCCCAGTGCTTGGAAAGGAAACCCCAGGCTCTATCAGACCCAACCTTTTACAGTTCAGTGCTTCCCCCTGAAGACTAAATCCCAGAAAAAATAGAGAGGTCTTAATTTTTAAAGATAATTTTGTATTTAAAAGAGGAAACCAGATCTGAAAGAGACATGTGCACCCCAATGTTCATCGCAGCACTATTTATAATAGCCAGGACATGGAAGCAACCTAGATGCCCATCAGCAGATGAATGGGTAAGGAGGCTGTGGTACATATACACCATGGAATATTAATCAGCCATTAAAAAGAATTCATTTGAATCAGTTCTAATGAGATGGATGAAACTGAAGCCCATTATACAGAGTTAAGTAAGCCAGAAAGATAAAGACCAATACAGTATGTATATGGAATTTAGAAAGATGGTAATGATAACCCTACATGCAAAACAGAAAAAGAGACACAGATGTACAGAACAGACTTTTGGACTCTGTGGGAGAAGGCGAGGGTGGGATGTTTTGAGAGAACAGCATTGAAACTTGTATATTATCTAGGGTGAAACAGATCACCAGCCCAGGCTGGACGCATGAGACAAGTGTTTGGGCCTGGTGCACTGGGAAGACCCAGAGGGATCGGGTGGAGAGGAAGGTGGGAGGGGGGATCTGGATACATGTAAATCCATGGCTGATTCATGACAATGTATGACAAAAACCACTACAATATTGTAAAGTAATTAGCTTCCAACTAATAAAAATAAATGAAAAAAAAATAAAAATTAAAAATAAATAAATAAAACAACAACAACAAAAATAAAAAACAAGGTGATCCCTTGGCCCTGGGCAGTGACAGTCTAGGTGCTGGGATGCACTGTGGAGAGTGATTCTATATTGGGGCGGCTGCCGTGGTGACACGACCACTCACACAACCACTCATGGGACACCAGCCAGTCTGTGTGGACATGAAAAGGAGCCCCTCCCTGTGTCAGGGTCACAGTGTGGACACCAGGACCAAGAACACAGCGGGGTGATTCTTAAGCTTTTCACCATTTGCTCACTATTTTCAACACGACCCAGCCACTAACTTGTTACAGTGACTCATTTGCAATGTGGGGACCACAGATGCTCACACTTCTCTGGTGGGGTCATGTTAGGAATCAAGGAGGAGATTCTCTGATTGACTCAGTGGCAGACTTTCTCTAAGATATGTGGTCCCGTTTTTGCACCTGCTTGTTGTGGGATGATAGGTGGGGAATCAGTGAATGAACTTCTCAGCGCATTGCAGCCTAGAGGAGCAGCCGTGGTGCCCAGAGACATCTAGTGTCCCGGATCACTTTTGTCCTGTCACACACGTGCCAGACTGTCCTGCTCAGGTCACTAAGTCATGGTATCCATGGAGACAGAGTGGCAGTTTCCAAGGTGAGGGCTGCGGGTCATGGTGGGGATTCTCAAGACCTTCCTGGGATCCACAGGCTCGAAACAATTTTCATAACAACATTTAAGAGATCTGCCTTTCAGCTGTGCTGACACTTGCTCTGATGGTACAAGAGCTCCAACTATGGCAGCAGCACGAACCTGATGGCCACGTGTGTGCAGGAAACAAAACAGAAAGGTCAGGTCCACTTAAGAATGTTCATGATAAACCATAAATAGTCTTTGTTTTTCTTAAATCTCAACCTTGGGGCACACGCTTTTTTAATATTCTGACTGACATCAGGGGAAGACCCCCTGAAGTCCCAATCCCTTGAGAAGGAGAAGTGCTTGGCCAGTGAGTGGACCCAGCTGCCATCCAGGTACCACAGGTCTACATGTAAGAACAGCTGATGGACAGTTTGGGGGATTCAGGCGCGAGCTTTCGACAGACAGCTACTGGAAAATAAATGGAGTGGGCTTTTGAGTCCAGCATTAAAGATACACAAAAGCATATTTTAATATGACAGCACCATTCTTTTCATTATTTTTTAAAAGGTAACTATTTAGATAAAATTATTCATGTGGATGAGCCAATTTTTAATGAATGAACAAATGAATATTTTTAAAGCCACAATTTTAATTTCTAGCACAATAGATATTGATGGGTAGGACTCTCATAAGTAAAACCCTTCAGGATCTTCAGTGATTTTTAAGAAAGTGAGAGAGTTCTGAGCCAAAAAGCAGAAGAACCGCTAGTTCAGCAGATGCTTGTTATTTGGGAAGCCGAACCCCCCAGCTCTACTACAAATGAAAGTCACAGCCATGTCATAATTCTTTTGTTGCGGACACTGCACAAATCTTAAAATAATCCCAATCCGTACTACAAGTCAAACTTTCTTTATTATGAAACTTCAGTTTCTTGAAAATTCAACACTTTCAGAATCCTACAGACATCTCAAAGGGTTCTAGGAGTTTAAAACCAAGCAGTTAATTCTATGAGAACAAAACACTTGAAAAACAGCATCAGCGTTTTTAGTCATGTGGTTTGTGACTGCTTATTTATTGTGATGAAAAGATGGCATCAGAAACCGGAAATGGTTACAATAAACAGCAGCCTCTAGCTGCATCATTGTCTCTTTATGTTTTGCACAGTGATGTTAACACACCTATGTTGCCGGCTGAAGGATCGAGTGTGTGTGTGCTGAGACTTTGTAGCTCTGTGTAAAATCTCATCGCTTTCCGCTCACATGTTAACGTGATGTCCTGTATTGCTTTTGCAGCTTTTATCCATGACTCAGGATGATTACAAGCTATCCAACATTGGTATACCCTAGAATTCTCATTTCTGCATGCGTCAGTGACATAAAGGGCACATAAATGGAATTAGCTCCTCTGAGTGTAGTTTAATGCTCTATAAAATTTTCGTACGTTTTTGAACACTATTTTGCAGAAATTATATCTGATTTATTGCTGTTAAAACACTGACTCATATAACATGAGCTCGAGTATAAACATATGTATGTATTTAAACTTTTAAAAAGCCACATTGGAGGGTCTTTTCCTCAAAAAGCGTTTTGCTCTGCAGATATGCCTGTTTTGTTTTTTTTTTGTTTTTTTTTTTTTTTACATAGTGAAAACTTTTATATTTGGAATTAGCCAGCTGGACTCAGTTTAGATGATCCCAATTTTGTTGGCAACATCCAAAGCATCATAGTCAGGAGCCAGTCGAACATATGCCTTCTTCTCTCCATCAGGCCTGATCAGAGTATTGACCTTAGCCACGTCAATGTCATAGAGCTTCTTCACAGCCTGTTTAATCTGGTGCTTGTTGGCCTTGACATCCACAATGAACACCAGTGTGTTGTTGTCTTCTATTTTCTTCATGGCTGACTCGGTGGTGAGGGGGAATTTGAATAAGTCTCACATGTCTGTGGACACACACATGTGTGTGTGTCTATGTTTATTTGTATCTGCATAAATAAAAAATTGTAAAGCCACAGAGACAGAGGGAAAAAGTAGGAAAATGTAGTTAGTGTACAAGATGCTACAACGCGGGAGTTGCAGGCTGCAGTGTCAGGGAGCGACTGTAGGGTTGTGGCTAACCTGAGACTTTGCTCATCCCGAGGGCCATGTGGAATGTGGAGCAGGTGGGATCAGGGCTGGGGGTGGGGGTGGGGAGGAGGCAGGGCAGACAGCAGCTCCAGGCCAGAACCCAGTCTGTCTGGAGATCCTGTAGCCAGAGGAGGGCCGGGAGCTGAGGCTGGAGGGAGACCGGAGCAGACCCTGAGCCCTCTGCAGCCTTTCTAGGCTTCACACTTCATGTGGAGAGCAGAGTGCATGGCATGGGTGCAGCAGAGGTAGGCCAGCTCAGGTTTGCCTTGTCCTGTGTGGTATGCGGGGCTGGGTTCAGAGGGAAAGCAGGGCTGTCTTGCTGGCAGGCATCACTACCCACAGTGCTCAGCTTCCCCTCCGCTCTGCGGTGTCCAGTATGCCCACTTAGTGGAGCGGAGGAGGGGGCTCTGTGTGGAAAACCAGAGCTGCTGTCACACCTGTCTTTGCCCCACGCCCCTGGCAGGGCCTGCTGGTGACCCTGAACGGCAACCCCGTGGACTACCACACCATCCACCGCAGCCTCCTGCTGGAGAACGGCCCCACCAAGGCTGACCTGTACTCCATGCCGCAGTACCACTGGGAGCGCACTGCCACCTCCCCAGGTCAGGAGCCTGTGGGACTGCCGCCTGCAGAGCTCAGCATCTCTTGTCTTTGGTTTATCCTTCATCAGATGTGGTCCTCTTTCCTTTTCATCTCTAGCAGAGGTTTATTTCTTCCACGGTCAGTCTGATGAAGACCATTTCCTTAGATTCTGCTTAGATTTTGCCTTACATCCTGCTCTGTGCATTCTGTCCTTGGTACAAAATAAGTGACCTAATGGGGGTAAGGGCTTCCCAAGTGGCACTGGTGGTAAAGAACCCGCCTGCTAATGCAGGAGACCTAAGAGACACAGGTTCGATCCCTGGGTTAGGAAGATCCCCTGGAGAAGGGCATGGCAGCCCACTCCAGTATTCTTGCCTGGAGAATCACATGGACAGAGGAGCCTGGTGGGCTATAGCCCATAGGGTCACAAAGAGTCAGACACAACTGAAGTGACTGAGCACAATGGGAATAAACTTTGAAAAATAAAAGGTAAAATATCATTTTAAACAGGTCATCTTGTTTGCAGTGTTAAACCTACATGCATATTTGTGTTTTAGTCTTTTTATAATTTGATTCCACAATCACGGTCCATAGTTTGGCTGGTTCCTGGATGAATGTTTTCTGGAAGAGTTCTTTTTGCCTAATAAAAAAAACCAAGAGGCCCAAAACTTTGATGAGACCTTTCTCCCTTTTCCCTCAGTTTATCCTGTTGAAGCACTAGTGGTAAAGAATCTGCCCGCCAATGCAGCAGATGAAAGAGCTGTGGGTTTGATCCCAGGGTCAGGAAGATTCCCCGGAAGAGAAAATGTTACTCCACTCCAGTATTCTTGCAGAGAGAATCCCATGGGCAGAAGAACCTGGTGGGCTACAGCCCATAGGGTCATAAAGAGTCAGACATGACTGAATGACTTAGCATACAACAATCCTATTGAAAGAGAGCTGCCTATTACTAGAGAGGACAAATTCATGCTTCGGTTGCTTATATGAAATTCACCTACATGCATAAATTGTTATATAAAATAATCTGTCCCTCTAAGAAAAGGAGGAGGAAAAAGATGATGAGAAAGAGTTTGAGGACGAGCGGAGCCGGGAGAAGAGGAGTGTCAAAGTGCATGCCATGGTGTCTATGTTCCAGTTCATCATAAAACAGAGCTACATCTGCACCCTCATTGCCACGATGGTGCGTATGTGCCAGAGTCCTGACTTCTGCCCAGATTCTGCCCCATACCTTGCTCTGTCCTTGGGACAATGTTAGCGCTGGTGGGATGGACAGTACTCGAAGCCCGCTGGCTCCAAGCCCCACCACCTCCTCCCACCAGCATGACTTGTTCATCTTCCTGATGTCTTAGCAGACAATGGCTGCTTCTGTTAATTTTTTCATGGGATTTTTATACTATAGATTTCAAAACTATGTCCCCCTCTATGCTGCTTAGCCTGCTTTAAAGTATTAATACCTGTCTCTCAAATTAGCCTATCAAGTCAGACTGCCCCCTGTTTTTCGGATTTAAAAAGACATGATGGTAGTTTTTCTAATATGGCTTTGAAGGTGTTCATGGTTAACAAAGGCCACTTTTATTTCTCTCAGATGATGAGGAGTATAGTCACAGCTTAGATTTGAGTGAGACTATTCCGTTTGGTGGAGAAGGAAATGGCAACCCACTCTAGAGCTTTTGCCTGGAGAATCCCATGGATGGAGGAGCCTGGTAGGCTGCAGTCCATGGGGTCGCTAAAAGTCAGATATGACTGAGCAACTTCACTTTCACTTTTCACTTTCATGCATTGGAGAAGGAAATGGCAACCCACTCCAATATTCTTGCCTGGAGAATCCCAGGGACAGAGGAGCCTGGCAGGCTGCCATCTATGGGGTCGCACAGAATCGGGCATGACTGAAGTGACTTAGCAGCAGCAGCAGCAGCATTCCATTTGAACTGAAACAAATGCTTACCAGTCTGAACACCAAGCACCGAGTCCCCAAGAGTGTCTTCTGGTTATGAGCATCTTCCCTGGAAGCTCCCCTCTGCAGCAGACTTTTAATCACAGCAGATCTCTTCTTTCTAGAGCAGTGCTAGGCAGCTGGATCTGTTAGGATGATAGACATCTTTATTCAGAAACACACAATGCAAATGTTCCATATCTTCAGATGATCCTAGAACTGCACATAAGAAGGAACGTAAAGCAGATTCTACCCCCAGCAACCAAAGGACGTGTGTGGCTGAGGGCTTAAAGATGAGAGAAGTTTAACAAAATGTTCCCAATTTGTTTTCCTCCCTCTTTCATCCAAAGGAGAATAGTGTATAGGGAAAAAAATTCTGATGGAATTACAATATCTGTGCAGGTTACTCTCCTGGGTCATCCACACAAAAGTGGCAAGGTCAGATCCGAATTTCGTTCTGGGATAAAGGCATTAAATATTACCTACCTTTGATAATGCGAGGCTTCTCAGGTGGCTCAGTGGTAAGGAATCTGCCTGCAATGCAGGTGACCCGGGATTGATCCCTAGGTCAGGAAGATCCCCCTGCAGATGGGAATGTCTACCCACCTTAGTATTCTTGCCTGGAAAATTCCATGGACAGAGGAGCCTGGAGGGCTACAGTTCATGGAGTCACAAAAAGTCAGACACAACTGAGCAACTAACATTTTGATAACACCATTTCCAAGGAATACTATTTTTCATGAAAATAATTCATGACTTAATAACAGCTGTCAGTTCTCAATTTTAATAAAAATAGTTTTAATTTCCTGTTTATAATTGCCATATGTTTTAAACAGCAATTTAAAATAACTCTGTACTTAAAAAAATTAGCTTTGCTTTAGGATACATTTGCAAGTTGCTGAGAGGAAGTATTTGTTTTGTGCTGACTTCATTAATTTATTTTATTTATCTCATTACTTATCTGCTTTCCAGAAGCAAAACAGACATAAAACATTTCCCACTGTGTAATAACCTTTGAAATTCCTGATATTCAGGAATATGATTGAACTCAGCCCCAACTAGACATTTAAAAAAAAAATAAATTTATGTATTTTTAATTGGCAAATAATTGCTTTACAACATTGTGTTGGTTTCTGCCTTACATCAATATGAATCAGCCTTAGGTATGCATATGTCCCCTCCCTCTTGAACTTCCCTCCCACCTCCTACCCCATCCCACCCTTCTAAATTGTTGCAGAGGCCTTTTCACAGAAATTTGGTATCGAAGATTATGGTAAGAGAGGATAGATTTCTTGAGGTTAATGATATTCATGAGCCTGATTTTCTAGAATGTTCCACAAACTGCTTTTTGAGATGCATTATAGGTCTGCCAGAGTTTGGTGTAACTGGAGGATGTCCTGCCCCCTACAGTTATAGAAGCTGAGGCCAGGCTCTCCATTAACCTGGCCTTACTACGTGGGGTGCAGACACCTGACACTCCACTTCCTCCTGGCAATTCCCTGATTCCTATCATGTCTGTCTTCCCAGCAGGTTGGCTAAGAGGACCCCTGAAGCCAGTTCATCTGCTTACCCTGTGGTCCCACAGCTTCCATTTCAGAGCCCAGCTTGGCCAACTCACCCAGCACCCGGGAAAAAGAGCCGACCCCAAGTTGGTTTGGAAGAATGAAGGAAGAAGCACTTAGGGTTGCTTTTCATCCAGCAAATCCAATGAAACTGACGACATCTGGACTGGAGGGCAAAGGATGCAGAGTGAAGCCATCCCCACCCTCACTTGACCCTCTTCCCTCTAGGATGTTGAGGGCAGTGTCAGCTCACAGGGCAGCCTTTCTCCCTGCTTCTTCCCCTATGCAGCTGGGACATTTCCCCCATAGTTTCACCATGATCCTCCCCACTAGTGTGAATGTCACTGACCTTTTCCTTGTAGACCACGTCTAACTCAGCAGAGTGGGGACTGTACCATGTACTGACTGCCCCGCTTTCTCGCCCTTCCCCCCTGGAGGCCTGGAGCATCACCTACCACAGCTGGATGACCTTCATGCTGCTCATCTGGTCCTGCACTCTGTGGATAATCCACAACCGGAAGAAGTACGCCATGATCAGCTCCCCCTTCATGGTCGTCTACGGAAACCTGCTGCCCATACTGAGGTACATATGGAGCTTCGAGCTCTCCGAGATTAAAAAGGTTCTGGAGATTCTTAGAAAAGAAGGAGCCGGGGGAGCTTGCCTCAAGTGTAAGTGGGCATGGAAACAAAGGGATAGGACATTCAGACAAAAACACAGTAATCAAAACAGTCATATACAAGCAGGAACATGCAAAAGTAGGTTCCAAATATTCAGTGCTCCTTGATATCATTATTTTTCCCCTTTGCCCTCAAGAAAATGTTGATATAAACATGTGGGCACTTAGAAAAACTACCTTTTCAGCTTCCAGAAAAGAATGGGAGGATTCAGGGACTCTGTTTGCTGGGATGAAATGTTCTTTTACCCACTCTGTGGATTTCTTCAAAATAAGGAACATTGTTGAAATAATGGGGCTCATAAAAGAAATACATCTTCCTCTTCTACTTGTGCTGAGGTCCCAGGCAGGAAGGAGACCTTTGGCCCACATCAGTTTCTAGCCCAGGTGGTCCTGTGTATCTTCCTGGAGTGTCCCAGGCATGAAGGCACCCCGGCACTGGACTGCACTCCAGCATCCTCAGGAAGGAAGGCTTAAAACCTGGTGGCTTTCAGAAGGTGCAATGTAGTGGGTGCCTGACTGTCTGGAGTGGGCAGGTTTATCCAGTGTGCTCCCACTGAAGGGCAGGGAAGCATAGTCATGGTTGAACATGTTTACACTTCAGAAGGGTGATGCTCTGATCCTTATTGTCTCCTTCCAGATCCTGTTCACCATCACATTCTGGCTACTGCTGAGATAGCACCTCACAGAGCAGAAAGCTCTCCAAGAAAAGGAAGCTCTTCTGTCTGAGACCAAAATCGGAAGTCAGGAAAGTGAAGAAAAAGGTGATTAGTACGTGCAGTGTGACCAGAAGAAGGGCCCCAGAGGACATCACTGGAGGGAGGCCAGGCATGGATGATCGCATGCCAGGGCTGAGTTACTGCTCACATGGGTGTCCACTGGAGCTTCAGGGATCCTAGGCCATTTGACCCACACAAAAGTGATACCCACTGCAGGGCATTTCCTGGGTCCTCCAAGGTCACAGCGACTCAGATCTCCCAAATTCAAATCCTCTTGCCTTTTCAAAAACAAATGTACCAGAGTCAAAAAAAAAAAAAAAGGAAGATGATGTTTTGATGATCAACTCTGTAATTTTAGACCCACTCTGTGGGTCAAATGAGAGCCACTTACTCCCTACCCATCTGGATGTGCCAATAAATACAATAAAATTTAATACTCGTTGAACAGCTTGGAGACAATTAGTGAGGCATGTAGCACTGTCTGAAAAGGAAGCTGTAAAAGTTGTCAGAGGCAGGGCTGGTAACCTTCAGATTAACCCCATCAGGAGGAAAAAACCAACTCATCTTTTTCTTATAGTTTCTCATTTAGACCTAAACATTGGTTGTTTTTCAGCAATGGAAGTCTTTAAGGTTTGAATCTTGACTACTTGAGTTTGGATGTCTCTGTTAACACAGTGATTAAGTTCACCAGTTACTTTATGTAAAGAACAGTTCATTTAAGATCAACAGTTGCTCCAACCTCTCACCCCACATGCATTCCCCTCACTCTGTGGATCTCCTGGTCATTCGAATAAGTTATTCAAACAGTAGGTCACCTTAAGACCACAAAGATGAGTCCTATGTGTTAGCATATTTTAAAGTAAGACCAAATAAGCTTTTATTTCAAATGCATAAAACTATTTTAAATTTGGTTAAATTATAATTAATCCTGAAGCCTAATTTAAATTAAACTATATTTGGCTTTAACTCTAAATTTTTTCATTCTGTAAAATGATACTTTCTGGTTAACATTATTACTAATAACCCAGATTCAATAAAATACTGTGAGAGGCACATTGTAAGGGATTTGATTTAGGTCATACCTGAACAGTGTAATGGTTTTCCCTACTTTCTTCAATTTAAGTCTGAATTTGGCAATAAGGAGTTCATGATCTGAGCCACAGTCAGCTCCCGGTCTTGTTTCCACTAGATTTGTTTGTAGTGATGCTTCCTAAGGCCCACTTGACTTCACATTCCAGGATGTCTGGCTCTAGGTGAGTGATCACACCATCATGATTATCTGGGTCATAAAGATCTTTTCTGTACAGTTCTTCTGTGTATTCTTGCCACCTCTTCGTAATATCTTCTGCTTCTGTTAGGTCCATACCATTTCTGTCTTTATTAAGCCCATCTTTGCATGAAATGCTCCCTTGGTATCTCTAATTTTATTGAAGAGATCTCTGGTCTTTCCCATTCTATTGTTTCCTCTGTTTCTTTTCAGTGATCACTGAGGAAAGCTTTCTCATCTCTCCTTGCTATTCTTTGGAACTCTACATTCAAACGGGTATAACTTTCCTTTTCTCCTTTGCTTTTCACTTCTCTTTGCAGCTATTTGTAAGGCCTCCTCAGAGAGCCATTTTGCTTTTTTGCATTTCTTTTTCTTGGGAATGGTCTTGATCCCAGTCTCCTGTACACTGTCACGAACCTCCATCCATAGGCTTTAGGAAGCATCACTACGAACAAAGCTAGTGGAGGTGATGGAATTCCAGTTGAGCTATTTCAAATCCTAAAAGACGATGCTGTTAAAGTGCTGCACTCAATATGACAGCAACTTTGGAAAACTCAGCAGTGGCCACAGCACTGGAAAAGGTCAGTTTTCATTCCAATCCCAAAGAAAGGCAATGTCAAACAATGCTCAAACTACCACACAATTGTACTCTTCTCACACACTAGTAAAGTAATGCTGAAAATTCTCCAAGCCAGGCTTCAGTAATACCTGAACTGTGAACTTCCAGATGTTCAAGCTGGTTTTAGAAAAGGCAGAGTAACCAGAGATCCAATATCCACTGGATCATCAAAAAAGCAAGAGAATTTCAGAAAAGCATCTATTTCTGCTTTAGTGACTATACCAAAGCTTTTGACTGTGGGGATCACAATAAACTGTGGAAAATTCTGAAAGAGATGGGAATACCAGACCACCTGACCTGCCTCTTGAGAAACTTGTATGCAGGTCAGGAAGCAACAGTTAAAACTGGACATGGAACAACAAACTGGTTCCAAATATGAAAAGGAGTATGTCAAGGTTGTATATTGTCACCCTGCTTATTTAATTTATATGCAGAGTACATAATGAGAAATACGGGGCTGGTTGAAGCACAATCAAGATTGCCTGGAGAAATATCAATAACCTCAGATATGCAGATGACACCACCCTTACAGAAGAAAGTGAAGAAGAACTAAAGAGCCTCTTGAAAGTGAAAGAGGAGAGTGAAAAAGTTGGCTTAAAGCTTAACATTCAGAAAACAATGATCATGGCATCCAGTCCCATCACTTCATGGCAAATAGATGGGGAAACAGTCACTGACTTTATTTTTTGGGCTCCAAAATCACTGCAGATGGTGATTGCAGTCCTGAAATTAAAAGACACTCACTCCTTAGAAGGAAAGTTATGACCAACCTAGACAGCATATTGAAAAACAGAGACATTACTTTGCCAAAAAAGGTCTGTCTAGTCAAAGCTACAGTTTTTCCAGTAGTCACACATGGATGTGAGAGTTAAACTATAAAGAAAGCTGAACACTGAAGAATCAATGCTTTTGAACTGTGGTGTTGGAAAAGACTCTTGAGAGTCCCTTGGACTGCAAGGAGATCCAACCAGTCCATCCTCAAGGGGATCAGTCCTTAGTGTTCATTGGAAGGACTGATGTTGAAGCTGAAACTCCAATACTTTGGCCACCTGATGCAAAGAGCTGACTCATTTGAAAAGACCCTGATGCTGGGAAAGATTGAAGGCGGGAGGAGAAGGGGACGACAGAGGATGAGATGGCTGAATGGCATCACTGACTCGATGGACGTGAGTTTGAGTAAACTCAGGGAGTTGGTGATGGACACGGAGGCCTGGTGTGCTATGGTCCATGGGGTCGTGAAGAGTCAGACATGACTGAGCGACTGAACTGAACTGAACTGCGAGGCACATTGTAGTCAGAATCTGAAATTGTCATAGTTAGTTTTGGTTTGTGTTATTGTTGTCTGTTTATTTCTCTTGATCCTGCAGTAATTATAGCTATTGGACGTTGCAAGTGAAATAGGTGTTATAAAAAGCTTGTATAAAAGTATTACAAAATGTGTTTCTTTTATGTTTCAGGAAGATTAGGAAAGTGGACTATGATTAGTTCTATAAATTCTGCCTTGTTTATTAGAACTGTCTAAAATTATTTAAATTGTATGGTAATGCCTAAATTGTATGGCACCCATATATCACGGGTCAGAGTGTGTGGTTCTGTTCCATGGACTGGCTCCTCCTAACAGCAGGGTCTTCTATCTTGAAGATGATGAACAGGATGTAGAGGTAGACAGCAAGGCTCAGGAGAAGGAGGAAGAAAAGGAGCCAAGGGAGGAGCAGCAGGAACAGAGAGAGGAAGAGGAAGAAGAAGAGGTGGATGAACAGGATGTGATGAAGGTGCTGGGGAACCTGGTGGTGGCCCTGTTCATCAAGTACTTGATCTACATCTGCAGGGGGATGTTCTTCTTCATCAGCTTCGAGGGTAAAATCATGATGTACAAGATCTTCTACATGGTGCTCTTCCTCTTCTATGTGGCCCTATATCCGGTGGGTGCTTGTGTCTACTGTTTACTATTCTCATGTCTGTCCAGGGGTATGCCTGAGCTCCCTTTGGCGAGGGACTGAGTTACTGTGACCCCATGAACACATCACGTAAAGGGGTTGATGAAATTCAAACAATACAGGCTAGGAATCAGAAAATGAGGAATGAGCCCCTTCCACCTGTTCACTAACTTGAAATATTATGTTCTTAAAAAGTCAGAAAACTGGTTAGGGTGGCATCCTTGTCTTGTTCTTGACCTTAGAAATGTCCATTGACAGATGACTGGATAAAGATGTGGTATATTTATACAATGTAATATTACTCAACCATAAAAAGAATGAAATAGTGCCATTTGCAGCAACATGGATGGACCTAGAGATTATCACACTAAGTGAAGTAAATCAGACAGAGAAAGACAAATACCATAGGATATCACTTACATGTGGAATCTAAATTACAGCACAAATGAACTCATTTCCAAAACAGAAACAGACCTACAGACATAGAGAACAGACATTGTTAATCTAAAGGGAAAATGAGAGTAGGGATAAAATTTGAAATTGAGATTAGCATATACACACTACTATCTATAAAAGAGATAAACAAAGACCTACAGAATAACATAGGGAACTATACCCAGATTTTGTAATAACCTATAAAAGATGTATATACATATAGCCAAATCACTTTGCTATACACCTGAAACTAACACAACGTGCGTGCGTGCCAAGTTGCTTTGGTTGTGTCTGACTCTGACACTAATGACTGTAGCCTGCCATGCTCCTCTGTCCATGGGATTCTCCAGGCAAGAATACTGGAGTGGGTTGCTATTTCTTTCTCCAGGGGATCTTCCTGATCCAGGGATCAAACCTACATCTCCTACATTGGCAGACGGGTTCTTTACCACCTGAGCCACAAGGGAAGCCCTCAGATTCCAATCTACATCATCCCAACTCTACAAGCAACACAGCCTCAAAAACTAAAAATGAACTTGACTTTGCTTTCAGACATCTGTGAATGGAATCACCTGTCTTTGTTGAATGGAGCCGGTATTTTTGTGAGTTTTCCCCTAACATGCTTTTCCCTCATTTATTGTTCACCGTCTGACTCACAGGTGCACTATGAATGGTGGAGGCGGATCCTGAATTACTTCTGGATGTCAGTGGTTATCTACATGATGCTGGTGCTCATCTTTATATACACATATCAATTTGAAAATTTCCCAGGCCTGTGGCAAAACATGACTGGACTGAAAAAAGAAAAGTAAGTAACTGTTCTGGACAGCAGGGTGGAAAGTGACCCACCAGGTGAAGTTGTGAGGGTGTGTTGTTCCAAACACGTTGTTGGGAAGGAAGTTTTAGTAAAACCTGATGTCATCACTGGCTGTAAGTTCCTCCAGAACAGAACACATTGGTCTTGGTTGTTTGGGGTTCTCATGACCTAGGCCTGAGCTTTGGACACATAATAGATACTCAATAAGAATTGACTAGAAAGTGAATTCTCAGCCCCTTATTAATGAAATGGCTTTTTCTAGTGTCTGTTACATGTGAAGCTCACCTGCCTGGCTCCTCACAGTCACACGTTCTCCCTTCCTAACAGGAGACTCATAACACAGAGCATCAGCCTCCCTCCCTGATGGAGCTGGTGCTGAGATTCTAAGCAGTTGTTGTTCAGTTGCTAAGTTGTGTCAAACTGTTTGTGACCCCCTGGATTACAGCACACCAGGCTTCCCTGCCTTCACCATCTTCCGGAGTTTGCTAAAACTCGTACCCATTGAATCGGTGATGCCATCCAACCATCTCATCCTCTCTCATCCCCTTCTCCTTCTGTCTTCAATCTTTCCCAGCATCAAGGTCTTTTTCAGTACGTTGGGGCTTCCCATCAGATGGCCAAAGATTTGAAGCTTCAGCTTCAGCATCAGTCCATCCAATGAATATTCAGGGATGATTTCCTTTAGGATTGACTGGTTTATCCTCTCGCTGTCCAAGGGACTCTTCAGGAGTGGATGGCCATGGAAACTAGCAGTGATGAGCTCCTTCTCATGCATGAAATAAACAGGACTCTAGCCTTTTCTACTCTACTCCTCTAAACTTCCTAAATTCCTTTAGAAATCGAACCAGAACTGGGCATAGTGTCCAGAGGAGGAGCCATAGAGCCAAGTGTCCAGAGAAGAAGGCATAGAACTGAGCACCTTGCCTGAGCCAGATACTCTTGTGCACCTGAATATCAACAGGAAGCCAGAGGGAGTCTGAGTCCTGTGGAATTTACATTCTAGGACAGAAGACAAACCAAAAAGCCTGCTTTATGTCAAATAAATTACAAATAGACACATCTGTGAAGGAAACAAAATCAGGCCAAGATAGTGAACAGTGGGGGCACAATAGCTAGAGATGGAGTGGTTCAGGCAGGCTTCCCTGAGGAGGTGTCATTTTTAATTTTTGGCTGGACCACCTGGCATTTATAATCTTAGTTCCCTGACCAGCACAGATTTACCATGCCTTCGGCAGTAAAAATGCTGAGTCTTAACCACTGGACTACCAGGGAAGTCCCAGGAGATGTCGTTTAAACTCCTGAAGAATAAGAAGGAGCTTGTCTTTAGAAAACTGTGTTGAGAGCTGAAAGGTGGAAGAACATTCCAGGAAAAGAGAACAGCAAATGCAAAGGGCCTGTGGCAGGACAGGGTTTGGTGAGTACACTGAATAGCACAAAGGCTCACCTGCAGGGAGGCTGGAGGTCAGCCAGGCACCTAGAGGTGCAGGGCCCCTAGATGGTGATGGTTTGTGTCTCATTCTTGGTGCAATGTCTATAAGTCTTTAAAGCACCCTTGACTGGCTGAGAAAACAGTGATGTGTGGGGGCCAGAATAGACACAGCCAGGTGGTCAGCCAGCAATGGTGGTGGGGGGGCCCATGATCGAGGATGGCAGCCTCACCTAGAATAGGAGGCACTGAAGAGGAAACAAGAGCACAGATTCAGGAAATGAGAGTGAAGGAATGTGGATGGTGGAGGCAGAAAAGTGTAGGGGTGAGGGGGCATCCTGACTTGGGCATTTTGCACTAGGTGGATGGTTGTGCCAGGGAAGACCAGAGTGGGGAGGGGGCGAGAACAGCTTAGCTGCTTCAGGAACATGGGGAAATGGAGACTTCTGTCTTGAAAATGTTCCGTGTGAAACCACCAAGAAATAGCCGAATTCCAGTGGACATTTGGGTGAGTGAGCCCACAGGGGAAACCCGCCCTGTTTCACAGGCTGGAGGACCTTGGCCTGAAGCAGTTCAGGGTGGCTGAGCTGTTCACATGCATCTTCATCCCTGCCTTGTTCCTCCTGATCTGCATCCTGCACCTGTACTACTTCCACAACCGGCTCCTAGAGCTCACCAATCTCAGTCTATCCCCAGCAGGAGGACAGTGCCATCTATAGGTGAGCCCACACAAGTGCAGCCAAACCCTCCTGTCCTCTCACTGAGAATCTCAACCTGTACTTGCCATGACAGTCAGCCTCTGAGTGGGAAAAAATGAGAAAAAATGTGGAGTGTTTGATGGCACTTTATGAAACAGTAGGTAGTGATTTGGGTTTCCTAGGTGGTGCTCGTGGTAAAGAACCTGCCTGCCAGTGCAGGAGACATAATAGACACAAGGTCGATCCCTGGGTCAGGAGGATTCCCTGGAGTAGGAAATGGAAACTCATTCCAGTATCCTTGCCTGGAGAATCCCATGGACAGAGGAGCCCGGTGGGCTACAATCCATGGGGTCACAAAGAGTCGGACATGACTGATTGACTTAGCATGCATGTGGGTAGTGATTTATGACATTTCATGGGTGATCTTGACAAACGTGTGAGTTGGTCCAGAGGAGCTGTGCAGACTGAAGTTCCTTTACAGTGGTGATGTGTCTTTTGTATCTGGTGTAATGGGGTATTTTTAGAACCATTTACAGAATCTGGTTAAATTCAGAGGGTGACTCTTCTGTTGCACTGACAGGCAGTAAGGAAGCCTCTATGAGTAAAAGCATAGTACAGAATTCTCCTTTTCGTTTCGGGAAGGAAGGACCTTGGCTATAAGGTTCTGCTATCTGCAAGTAACCAGGGTAACATTTAAGGAAAGAGCGAAGGCAGTGATTCCTGCCACCAGTTCCCTGTTGCTGTCTTCCATCAATAAATACTAATACAAAGTGTTTCCAAGTAGCCGATGGGATCTGTCTCACCCTGGCCATGTGTGTAGAGCCACAGCGGGTCAGCACACATCCCTAGGCCTGCTCCACCTCGGGCACATTACAGGCATTCGTCTAATGAGCCTTGATACAGATTTTCCTCTCTGCTTCACATAGTAGCCTGTGATTCAGCTCCTGGAAAACCCTTGTTGCATAGATGAGGGAGCAAAGTGCTGCCTTCAGAGGAACACAGATGCCACAGGTGAAAATTCCCCTGAGCTCCTTCTCAAGGGAAACAGTGAGTCCATGGAAAGAAGATGAAGCAGTAATTCATTAGGCATAGTTCATGAAATGTCAGACTGTGAACATTCTGCTGTGCTAGGGGGTTGTTGTTGTTCAGTCGCCCAGTCATGTCCAACTCTTTGCGACCTCATGGACTGCAACACACCAGGCCTCCCTGTCCATCACCAACTCCCAGAGCTTGCTCAAATTCATGTCCATCAAGTCAGTGATGCCACCAACCCATTTCATCCTCTGTCGTCCCTTTCTCTTCCCATCTTCAATCTTTCCCAGCATCAGGGTCTTTTTCAATGAGTCAGCTCTTCACATCTGGTGGCCAGAGTATTGGAGTTTCAGCATCAGTCCTTCCAATGAATATTCAAGGTTGACTTCCTTTAATATTGACTGGTGGAATTATGGAAAACTGAGTGCGTTGAACAGGATTTCCTTAAGTAGGTAAACATGGTTTAATTATGTGGGTTCTGAAAAAAGATAGCAGCCTCCTATCAAGATGTGTCCTCCTGTTTTCCTCCACTGTCTGTCCAGCCTGTTACCCCCTCACCTGGCTGAACAGGAAGGAG